GTTGGAAATTTGTAGCGCATATATAATGATAGAGATACTTATGTTTTAGGTAATTAGTTAAGTCTGCGAGTTTAACACACATTAAAGAGATAACTTTTTTTCTTATAAATTATATTATAAATTAAAATATTAAAATAATAAATTATAGTATAATTTTTTTACGCGTTGGTAAAAAAATAAAACGATGGAAAATATCAAACGAAGCTTACGTTGATCAAAAACACGAAAGAAACGCAGCGTTAAAAAAAAAAAAAAAGAAATAAACAAACAATAAATTTAATTAAATATGTTATATTTTTTTATTTACAATTATTGTATAAGTTAAAAGAAGTTAAATCGTCTTATAATTTTTGCAAAATAAAATTGGTTTTTCTTTATCGACTTCTTTTTAATTTATATTTGCTTTTTTTCTGAAAAAAATTTAAAAAAATTTAAAAAAATATTTTTTTAATGTTTAAAAAAAAAAAATTTTTATGTATAGAAATTCTTACTTTTTTTTTATCCACCTGAAAATGCACTAATTCTTTTGGCTGTTCGACTCTTTCTATTTGTAACGTTGGTTTTTGAGTTTTTTCATCAAGTTTTTTCATGAATTCTTCGACGGTCAAATCTATTTCTTGAAACTCTAATTCTTGGTCATCGTCTATAACGATAGTTTCAATTACTTTAACTGCCATTTTTCGTACAAGTTGTTTTATTGCTATTTGAATTCATATTTAAAAAAATGCTGTTTTTATGTCAAATAGTTAATCCCTACAGATTTAGTAAAATAAAAGAATTTTATGACAAACAAGTTATACTTTGAAACTTTTAATCTTGCTTTTTACATAAGGATTAAGTAAGGAATTTTGTAATTAAAAAATGTGCGTAAACAACTTTAAAAAAGTTTTTCTGTGTAGAAAAAAAACTCTGCGTAAAGTGTTAAAATGACAATTTAAATAAATTCATACAAAAAAAAATGCTGTTTTTATGTAAAATAGTTAATCTCTACAGATTAAGTAAAATAAAAGAATTTTGTGACAAACAAGTTATATTTAGAAACTTTTAATCTTGCTTTTTACGTAGGATAAAGTAGGGAACTTTTTAATGAAAAAATGTGCGTAAACAACTTTTAAAAAACTCTGCGTAGAAAAAAATCTCTGCGTAAAGTGTTAAAATGTTATTTTAAATGAATTCAAAACACGCTTAAACAACACGTCGACGTAGCTTAGCGCATTGTATCATTTCAGTGCTAAGTTGTAAACCGCCATGAACCGATCGTCTAGGGTTTGAATCTCTCTATAACTTTACGGCTTTAACATTATATGTATAAAAACAGTGAGTTTCGGTGAATTCGCTGATACTATATGATTGTGTCACACTGAGACTCGTACTCTCGGTGAGTCCTGAACGTGTATGAAGGAGCGTGTATGTACGACTTGGTGAGCAGGCATAAGTAAGGCATAAGACAAAAAAAATAGACTAAGTAAGTAAGGCTAAGTAAGTAAGTAGGATAAGAAACTACCGGTTGTTAAAAAAACAGAGTTAAAAATAACAAGTAGGCCTACTAAGAAAAAAACAAGTTAGGTGAGGCAGGATAAGTAAGGGCAGTGTCGGGTGACACAAAAAATTTTTATTTAAAAAAAAAAAAGTTTTTTTATAAAAAAATATAAGTTTTTTTTAAAAAAATATAAGTTTTTTTTAAAAAAATATAAGTTTTTTTTAAAAAAACATAAGTTTTTTTTAAAAAAATATAAGTTTTTTTTTACAAGTCAAAAAAAAATGAGAGGAATTTATAAACGTAAAAATCGTTTAAAAAGATATCATTTTATATATAAAAAAAATTAAACAACATAGTCGATTAAACAACATGATGCATAGAAGTGGAAATGTTTTTAGAAAATTAAGAAGATAATCATAATAAAATAAAATGTTAAAGTGTAATAGAGAGCATAAAAGTTATCATAAAAAAATATATTATAGTACATGTTTTGTAAACACATTTTATAATTTGATAAAGGAAGATTTGGATTTTTATCAATCCGCCTATAATGAATAGCCTATGAATATTATTAATAGTGCGCATAGTTACGCATTGTTACGCCTATTGTTCGTTTTGTTAATTACGGTTCTGCATTATGTAAAATACACTATTTCTTTGCCTCTAGAATTTTCTAAGCGCAGTTATATATTCCATGCGGTCATTCGAGTAAAATCAGCAATCAAATTGGATCTGATACAATTATTTTCAAGAAGAATTAATGTTGTTTATTTTTTAAAATAAAAATTTAAATAATTGTTAGTTTGCTATGTATATATATATATATATATATATATATATATATATATATATATATATATATATATATATATATATATATATATATATATATATATATATATATATATATATATATATATATATATATATATATATATATATATATGTATATCTATATGTATTTTCTCTTACCAAAAATAATTGAGAACAGAAAAATAAAAAAAATTTCTTCTGGAATTTGTCAAAAGGGTGTTGTGTTATTCTTCATTTTAAGGTATCTAAATATGTATTTATTTTTCATTTTTTAGAATAAGTTAGAACTAAATTGACTGGTAAAATAGTTTTTTTAGTACAATGTTTCTTTTTTAAGAAAGCAGTTTTGTCGTTAGTCTTTTTAAAACATTTTAAGCAGTATTTGTTTTATTTTTTAGAGCAGTTAAGAGAAGCTGATCGCTTTTTTAGTAAGTTCAAGTTATTTTCTCATACATAAATTAAGGTTTTCGATTTATTTCAGTCTATTTTATATTTCTCTATATCTACATATATATATTCTCTTAGGAAAAATAATAAGGAATAAAAAAATTAAGAAAATTTCTTCTGGAATTTGTCAAAAGAGTGTTGTGTTATGTTTCATTTTAAGGTATCTAAATATGTATTTATTAGAAATTTTTTTAAACCAAGTTTAAAAGAGTTGATAAACCAAGAAAATTGTAGAGGTTTATTTATCAATATATACTATAAATTATATAATAATATTGGAGGGAGTAAGTTAAAAAGCATTTTTAAATTTTTAAAAAGAAATAAAAATACTTTTCAATATATATCTGTTTTTTTTGAGGTAGATTTAAAGTTTCAGGTTTTCAAAATTGAAGATCTTTTTAATGTATAAATAGACATTAAGTATTTCTAAGTAGATATTACGTATATATAAAATCTCTTAAAATTTAATAAGTAATTATTTGTTTAAATAAGTAGTTAATTGTTATAATTTATTAAGATTTAAATTATTAGAAAATTCATGTTTACAGAGTTGTTATTAATCATTATCGAGTTGTTGAACCAAAGAAATTGTAATATCAAATATATACTATATATATTGTAAAAAAAATTTTGGTTTTCATATGTTTTCACTAACAAATAGTTCTGTATATATATATATATATATATATATATATATATATATATATATATATATATATATATATATATATATATATATATATATATATATATATATATATATATATATATATATATATATATAACTATATATAACTATATATAACTATATATAACTATATATAACTATATATAACTATATATATCCTTGGAGTTGCGACAGCATAAAAGTGTGTTAGGAGAAAAAAATTTATAAACCCGCGTTAATAACCTGTTTTCTATCGTACATAATGCATTAATAATGCATTAATAAGTTTTATTACGTGTTTTGTTCAATGTTTTCTCCCAACGCATGAACTATGACGCTGTCACAATTTTTTTTTTTTTTATTAGAAATAAAATAAGTTTTAATAAGTTTTTGCTGATGTGGTTGCAGGTTTTTCTTAACTTCTACCAAATAAACTTAAGAAACCTGTATTACTTTTGATGAGGGCAAATTAATTTCATTTTGCATTTGTTTGGTTTCTTTATATATATTTGTTTTGAAAATTTTTTTTTTAATTTTTTGAGTATGATTTTTTTAGTTATTAAGTTTTTTTATTTTATTGTTAACTTTAGATTAGTAAAAAAAAAAGAAATAATTAGTGTTGCTTTGATAAATATGTTTAATGAAAATGATGACATTGAAATGGATGATAGGCTAGATGTAGTTTTGTATTTACAAGATGATGTAAGTGCTATAAGGCGTGTTGAAAATAATCGTAGACGAATTGAAAGAAATAGACTTAGGCGAGATGAAATTAATTGTTTACAAAATGAAAGAAATAGACTTAGGCGAGATGAAATTAATTGTTTACAAAATGAAAGAAATAGGCTCGATCGAGATAATGTTAATCGTTGCCAAAATGAAAGAAATAGGCTCGATCGAGATAATGTTAATTGTCGCCAAAATGAAAGAAATAGGCTTGATCGAGATTATGTTAATCGTCGCCAAAATGAAAGAAGAGCTGTTGGACAAGGACGAATGTATTCTATAGCGAGAAGTAATGCTATTCCAGGTTATAATTATTTAAGAGAAATGAATCAAATTTGTCAGCACTGTGGTGCTAAGAAATTTCCAGATGAAACACATTTTCTATGTTGCCATAATGGTAAGGTAGCTTTGCCTCCACTTTCACCAATTACACAAGCTTTACAGGATTTGTTTACAGGGAGTTATGTAAATTGTAATGCTAATGCTAATTTTTTAAAACATATTCGAAATTATAATGCCTGCCTTTCTTTTGCTTCTTTTACAGCAAATGTAGTTCAACCAATGAATCATGGGCTTCCATGTTTTAAAATATGTGGCCAGATTTTTCATCGTGTAGGTAATCTTAGGCCAGATCAAGATATTCCATCAATATATTCTCAACTATGTATTTATGATCCACTTGCTGCACTAAATTTTAGAATGCAACACTATGCTAATGATCTTTGTTTACGTGATTTAATGTTTCAATTGCAAACTATAATTATGGAACAAAGTCCATTTCCTCTTGCATTTAAAAACATGGCTGAAGTAGAAGATGAAGAAATTCGTAAGTCGGCTATAGAAGGTCGCTCAGCTTTTGTTGTAAAAATGTCTTTACTTGAAGGCGGTGATAGACGTCGTTATAATCTACCTTCACATGATGAAGTTGGAGTTGTATTTGTTGGCGAAGATGGTGCTCCCCCAACTTCCAGGGAAGTTGTTATTTACCCAAGAGGTCATCCTTTAAAAATTGTATCAAGTATGTCAGCCAACTTGGATCCTATGGTTTATCCGCTGTTTTTTCCAAGAGGTGATGCTGGTTGGCATAATCAATTGGTGCATAACCCTGAGCGTGCCACACTGGTTAGAAATCATGTTACATTATCTCAGTTCTACAATTATAGAATTTCTGTTAGGCAATTTATCTGTTCATTATTTTATGGCAAGAAACTATTTCAGCAATATGCTGTAGATGCATATGTAAAAATTGAAGGCCAGCGTCTTGCTTTTATCAGAAACAATCAAAATAAGCTGAGAAGCGAGCAGTACGATGCCTTACATGAACATATTAACAACATTGCCAATGATCGTAATATTAGACCAGGACGAGTAGTAGTTTTGCCATCATCTTATGTAGGAAGTCCTAGAGCTTTAAAAGAAAACTTTGAAGATGCTATGGCAATTATTAAAAAGTATGGTAAACCAGTTCTTTTTATAACTTTTACTTGCAACCCAAAATACCGTGAAATAACAGAAAATTTATATCCGGGTCAGAATGCGAATGATAGACCTGATTTGGTTACTCGAGTATTTAAACTCAAGTTAAATAACCTCCTCAATGATATATTCAAACATGGTGTATTAGGCAAAGTTGTAACGCATGTTCAGGTTATTGAGTTTCAAAAGCGTGGTTTGCCGCATGCCCACATTTTACTTCATTTAGCAAATGATGATAAACTTGAAACATCACAGGATATCGATAATTTGATTTGTGCAGAAATTCCAGATCCGATAGTTAATTGTGAACTTTATGATATTATCAAAACTTGCATGATTCATGGCCCATGTGGGATACTGAATCCAAATTCTCCCTGCATGAAAGACGGGGTGTGCAGCAAAAAATATTCTAAAGATTTTAATGCCAACACAGTAGCTGTTCACAATGGTTATCCGCGCTATAGGCGTCGTGATAAAGGGTTGGTTATCAATATTAAAGGCAACAATGTAGATAACCGTTGGGTGGTACCTTATAATCCTTGGTTATCAAAGAAATAACAAGCCCACATTAATGTTGAAGCTTGCATGTCTGTGAAGGCTGTTAAATATTTGTATAAATACATATACATATAAAGGGCATGATTGTTCGAATGTTTTGATAAATGAACAGGTTAATCACGATGAAATAAACACTTTCTTAGATTGTCGTTATGTTAGTGCACCTGAGGCGCTGTGGCGAATATTTGAGTATCCCATAAGTCATATGTCACACTCTATTATCCGTCTTAAGGTTCATCTTCCTGAGAATCAGATTGTGTATTTTAGAGAAGGAGAAGAACAAGTGGCGTTAGATCGTGCTGGTCAACATGATACACACCTTACGGCCTGGTTTAAATTGAATTCTGAAAATGAAGGAGCCAATCGCTATTCATATGTTGACATTCCATATCACTTTGTATTTGATGATAAACATTGTAAATGGAAGGTTAGACAAAGAAGTGGAAATAAGGTGATAGTAAGAATGTATAAAGTTAGTCCAACAGGAGAATTATTTTTTCTTAGATTGTTACTTTTACAAGCAAAAGGAGCAAAATCTTGGGAGGATTTGCGTACTGTTAATGGAATAGTTCTTGAAACCTTTCGTGAAGCGTGTGTTTTTAATGGTTTGTTGCAAGATGACACTGAATGGCAGAATACTCTTTCTGAGGCAGTTTTAACGCGAATGCCTAAGCAAATCAGGCAGCTGTTTTCAATTATTTTAACCTTTTGTGAGCCTGATGACCCTTTGCATCTTTGGAATTCATACAAAGCCTTTATGATGGAGGATTTCATTCATCGCCAAGTTCCATTTATATTAGCTGAACAAGCTACTCTTCTTCAATGAATAGCCTATGAATATTATTATTAATGCGCATAGTTACGCGTATTGTTTTATAGTTACGGTACGGTTCTGTATCTGTAAAATACACTTTTAAAGTAGTTTCTAGACTTTTCTTTACCGCGTGCTTACTTACAGATTTCCCTTCAACCTTTCATGGTACGAGTTCAAAATGTCTAAGTTGACATTAAGTAGATAATGTTTAGTAGCTTAAAATTATAGATAATCTAAATTTTTTTTTAAATTTAAAAGTAATTAATTTATTGTAATCTTTTTTAAATTGTAATTTTAAATTTAAAGCTTCGTGTTATAGATTACTTTAATTCTTAAATTGTGTCTAGCGTTAAAATATATTTATGGGTAGTTTCATGATTTCACTTAGTTTTGGTTATTAGGATAAAAGCCATGACAACATTTTGTTATAAATTTATCTTAATTTAATTTTTATTGAAAATTTAGTTATAAATAAAATTTATCTTTAATATTGTTAATACTTTTGCACTTTGAAAAAAAAATATGTTTCTGGCTCTTCAATAAATATAAAATAATTTGTATTGCATGAATGAATTTTGGTTTAGGATTTAATTGTGTTAGTTTATGTTTGTCTATCTGTAATTTATTTAGGTTATTAGAAAATTCATGTTTACAGAGTTGTTATTAATCATAATCGAGTTGTTAAACCAAGGAAATTGTGGAGGTTTATTTATCATATATACTATATATATTATATAATTATATTAGAGGGAGTAAGTTTAGAAGCATTTTTAAATTTTTAAAAAGAAGTAAAAATACTTTTCAGTATATATCTGTTTTCTTTGAGGTAGAAATAAAGTTTCAGTTTTTTAAAACTTTAAATTAACTTTACAATGTTAAAATGGTTTAAACGAACATAAACGGATTTTTGTAAATGAATTTAATCCTCAAAGATTAAATTTTTTTTATTATTGAAGAAATTGAACTAGATTTAAGAATGAGTCGACTTAAATGTTTGTTTGTTTTTCTATTTAGATGATGACAATATTGAAGCAAGTAAGTTAAAAAGCATTTTTAAATTTTTAAAAAGAAATAAAAATACTTTTCAATATATATCTGTTTTCTTTGAGGTAGATTTAAAGTTTCAGGTTTTTAAAATCATATATATTATAAGATTTAAGAATGAGTCGACTTAAATGTTTGTTTGTTTTTCTATTTAGACGTTGTTGATAATATTGGAACAAGTAAGTTATAAAGCATTTTTAAATTTTTAAAAAGAAATAAAAATACTTTTTAATATGTTTCTGTTTTCATCGAGGTAGATTTAAAATTTCAGGTTTTTAAAATCATATATATTATAATATTAAATTTTTTTTTACTTTAAAAATATCCATATTATAGTTACACTGAGTCGTAGAAAAAAAATTAAAGTTTATTAATAAGGTAGTAGATTATTAGAGTAGATTAAATTGTTTGATCTATTAATCAACTTAATAACGTACTATAAAAGTAAAGATTTATTTTGGTTGTTTGTTAAAATTTAGTTATAGTTTATTTAAAATTTAAATTCTTTAGTTAATCAAGAGAGATCTAATAAAGGTATTAATTACATTAGTTGAATGTAGCATTTAATATGCATTTTATCGATATTTTAACGTCTAAACATTAAAGTGCTTTTATTGTTTAGATACAGAAGTGAAGAAGGAAATAAGTCAGTGTTTTTGCTATTAGATATTTGTTATTAGGAATTTGTTTATTTGTACTGCCACTGGAATTTTAAAAAATCAAGTTCTTTAGCTTTTTTTTTATACTTTCTTTTAGGGGAGTTGGAACAAAAACTAAGTATAAATTATGATTAGTTTAGTTTAATAAAGAAAGCATTAATATTTAGAAGATTTAAAGTTTACTTTAGTTTATAGTTTTGGTTTAGTTTATAGTTTTGTTTTTAGCTTTAGTTATTTTTTTCTTACTTTAGACAACTTTATGGATGAAATGAGGGGGATGGGTAAAACAATTATTTAGATATGTATATATTTATATGTTAACATTATTTTATCGATTATAATATATAACCCTTTTTTTTTATCGATTATTATATATAACCCTGACGACCTTACAAAAACCTCGAAAAAACTTGATGTTATAATGTTAGCCGACGACACAAATTTATTTTATTCCTCGACCTCAATCAAAAACCTTTATGAATGTCTGAACAAAGACCTTGAAAAATTAAACATCTGGTTGAAATTAAATAAGTTATCACTAAATACAGAAAAAACAAAATATATATTGTTTCATTTCAAAAACAAAAAAATAATATACCAACTATACTTCCCCCACTAAAAATAGATAAGGTTAACATTAAAAGAACAGAAACAACAAAATTTCTTAGGATACTTATTGACGAAAATATAACTTGGAGAGCCCATATTAGTACAATAAACACCAAAATTTCAAAAAATATTGGGATACTTTACATAGTTAAACCTATGTTGTCCCAAGATAATCTTAAATCTCTTTATTTTTCTTACATCCAAAGTTATCTTACGTACGCTAATATTGCATGGGCAAGTACACACAAATCCAAGTTAAATACTCTTTATTTAAGTCAAAAACATGCATCAAGATTAGTTTATAATAAATATAAACTCACCCATGCTGAACCTTTACTAAAAACCCTAAATGCACTGAATGTTTACCAAATCAACATCTATCAAAATATTCTTTTCATGCTTAAATGCAATCTTGGACTAGTCCCATCGCATTTTTTAGATAACTTTTTTCAAATTAACTCTAATAGATATACCACAAGAGCAACAGGGAACTTCACATTACCAAAAAAAACAACAAAGTTCTCACGATTCTCTATTTCCTACCGGGGTCCGTACCTATATAACAAAATAATATCCGAAAATATAGAACTTAAAGCATTAAATAATTCTGCCACCTTGAAAAAAAAATTAAAACACCTCATACTTAATATCAAAAATTTTATTGACATGTATTAAACTTAACAACAAGATTTATACTAAAATGTTTATGTGTATCACTGACTGTGTATTGTTTAACCACTTTTAACTATATATAAAAATTAATTAAATTTATTTAACCACTTGAAAAGGTACTTGATGATAAGACTTTATAGTCTTCTGCGAGTCTCCTTTACAACAACATGTATATATTTGAAGAAACAATAGTTTTTATTTAAAAAAAAACAGTGTTTTATTAATATATTTATTTAAGTATATATTTGTCTTTAGTGTCAGGTGGAAGTATAGCTGGTAGGACTGTGTTTTTTATTTTATATATTTTGTATGGAGAAATATATGCAACAGGTGAAAAAATTAATTAATAAATATGACACTTTTGAACTGGTTGCATTATTGCCCTATATATTTATTAAAATACAAAATATTGCATGTTTAACCCTTAATAATTTGCTGTATTTTTTTTGTTTTTTTTAGCATCTTCTGTTTCGAATGAAAATGGTGAGGTTATGCAAATTTTTTTTTTAATAATTGCAAATGTATAATTTTTATTATACTCTTCTATTTGTAACTTTAGATTCCTTATCATTCGAACAATACAAAAGTTATCGCTCCCAACACCCGGGACCTCTCACAGAGAGGTCCTTTAATAAATGGAAACGTAATGTCGGTATGGATGAGCCCTCCTTTAAATGGAGGGTTCATCCATACCGGGGTGTTGGGAGACACCGAAAAAAAAACAGCAACCAAAAGTTTGTAAATGTCTTCTATCAGTAGAGATATTTATGACTTTTTAGTTGCTGCTTTTTCTTCGGTTTTTTCTTCTGTTCTTTTTAGTGTTGTTCAAAAATGTAATTTTTATGTTGGCTTTTAGTAAACTTTCTTCTGTTCTTTTTAGTGTTGTTCAAAAATGTAATTTTTATGTTGGCTTTTAGTAAACTGCATCCCTACAGCAACTGCTGCAGGATCACAATAGGTTACCAAAAACAGGTATACTGTTTTCCAGTTGTTGTTTTTTTTTCATATATTATATGAAATATTCATAATACTATAGTACGATTGTTTATATCTCATTAATTTTTTTTTTCTTTATCTTTAAGTGTTAATAATTTTATTCTTTAAATGATTTTAGTGAAACAAGTCGGCTTTTCATTAAAGATATTGGTTTTAAAATTGAACATCATTGGCAAAATGCTTACAAAATTAGGTAGTTTTTAAAAATCTGTTTTTTATTTAATACACTTTTTTTTAAATATACTTTTTAAATATACTTTTCTATAACAATTCTACTAATATGGAATCACGTAGCTTTTTAAATATGTTTAATTGTCGTCCCTATCGGTAATAAATATTTTAAATTATTTGATATGGTTTTCTTTACAATAGGCTATGCTTGGCTCCTCGGTGCTGTAAATGGTGGCTTCAACTTTGTTTTTTTTAAGAAAAATGTGTTTTATATATGCTTCTGTTTTAAAATATTTTTGTTACATATTTCACTATATATCATGTAAATAAATTTCTTTTAAAGATATGTAAACTTGATACTTGCTTTTTTACGGATTTTCAAAAAGTGAGCAAAGGTTTAAATATATTTTTTAACTGTCTTTTATGATTTTATCAATTTTATTAAAGCTGAATAATTACTTCAAAAATATTGAGTAAAATCCAATTGCTTTTATTATTAACTTGATCTATACAAAAATTAATGAAATAAAACTAATAATCTAACGTCAAGTTAAGGCAAAATGTATTTTATAAAATTAGTATAAATATGGATTGGATGTATGCTGAAATAAATATGTTGATACACGTTAGCTATTATAGTAAATCCATATAATCCTTTGTTTTTTTATAAACAAGTTACTGCTGGATTACTAATTAAAAAAAAGGTTGGTTTATATAATAATCTTTATCATAATATATAGGATCGGTATGCAGGGTAAGCCCTTTTCGGAATTGCAATATATTTTTCAACTTATAGTTTTTCCGGATATCCAACTTCTATGCCTACAAGTTTAAGTGTAATATTTTAGAGGTTTTAAAAAA